GTACTCAATCATGTAAGTAGGAATAATAATCTCACTCGGTCCGATCAAAACTCCTAAAAGTTAATCTCTACATCTTATCATCTTGGTTAGAAATAATAGTATGATAGTCTAGTTCTAAATAATAAGAAAAGGTTGTATTCTCTCCCTAATTACTAGGACCACTATCAACGGGGATGAGTGTTAGTCTTTGAACATCCCATAAAGGGAGAGCTACATCTACATTAGAGATTGACCCATTTTCACCAAAAACAATCTTAGATATTTTTATGACTCTTTTAAAATCGGTCATTTTTAAAGTAAATGTAAAAGAGAAGTTAAAAAGAAGGTTTATTTATCAAAGTATCACTAAAAATTGATAAAAACAAGACAATCACTCTACAAAGGCTTAAAGTGCACTTAAAACAATCACGAGTTTCTAAAAGATTCATTAGACAAAAGAAAATTTACAAAGAAACACTCTAAAACAAACTCTAAATAATCACCAACTCACGGATAATGCTTATCAATTCTTTGAAAGTTTGCATCAATATAAATAAAATCATGAGAAAGTGAAGAGATGTGAAAGGAAAACTACTACTTATAAGTAAGAAATAACATGAAAAGTCTTATGTTGAACACTCAAATGGCTAATCCTAAAAGGCATGTCCCTCTAGACATGGATCAATCATGTATCACCATATGCCCTATAAAAAAAATAAAATAGGTATAGGTTAAAACTGAAGATACTTTAAAGGGCCTCATAGTTTTGATTACTTAAAAAGACTTCTCATACATGAACGTTTAGTCTTCCCACGTGTCTACATAGTTATCGAGATTGTAGGCATCAAATGAGCATGTAATACACCTTTCATGGTTAATAAATAGAAAATATGAGTAAAAGTAGTCGGTTGCCTCATGCATCTCCATCATCTAGGTGTAATTTGAGATTTTACCAAAAACTTTTGCTAAAGTCTTAGGGGGCTACTAATATGCCTTTATAAATTCACCTTGCATTACATATCTCAAAGCCCTACCAAGAATAAAGGCCTTCTTAAAGTTATAACTTCTCTTTCTTATGGCTTCATAGCCACCTAACCCTTAACATAACCATAGATAAGGTCGCTCTCATCATTAAGACTTTATGACCGAGCAAACCCCACATGAATAATACGGACATATGACACGAAAAAAATTCTCTCTCCCATATGATTAGATAGAAATGATCCGTATTTAATGAGAGTGTGGTTTCATAAGATGTTGTCATATATCACCAAACATGTTTACACATACACTAATAATCCAAGACATTCACCTCAAAGGATCTCTAACTCCGCAAATAAATGTCGAAATTGTTACATACAAGGAAAAAGACTAGTTCGGCTTCCACTTTATACAATTTGATCATCCTCTCACTACATAATGGTTAAAATATATGTATTACAAGTTTTGCCTCCTAATTTTAAAGCTGATATAGTATCATATATTTTCTTCTACTAAGAGCTTAAAATACTATTTAAATCTATTCGGACCAAATGCTTCTAATTTAGACATCCGAAAGTCCTCTAAACACTAGAAAATGACTTTTTTTTTTACATGTACTAACCATTTGATCTCCTTCACTATAACTATATTAATAAAATGATCATTTCGGATTAGGATTCATCCTATTATTAGTAGATGATTATCACCTCATCAATAAGCATACATAGAAAATTATACAAAATTTTTTTTTTTAATAACCAAGGCTTAATGTTTTAAAAAATCATAAACTTTACACTTTTTAATGATTTTATTTTTTTTTAAAATTTTGGATATAAAGGTAACCTAGGTTAAGTCTTTAATAATAATACTAGCACATATCAACTTTTTTGAATTAAATTCGATCAAAACTAACATGGCACGTGATGAAGCATGACGAACTTAAACTAAATATAACGAGTAAGATCCACATAAGTAATGACATAGAAAATTAATTACAAAACTTGAAAGATATGTCATCTCCTATATAACCCAATTAGAATAAAACCTCTAATTCAAATTAACCCTAACTTGTATAACCTTTTGTTTTTTATTTCAATTTTACATAAGCACACCCATCTTCCTTCGCTTTTTCTTCATCTCGCCTTTGTCTTTTTAGAATCGAACCACGATATCCTTTCTTTTTCTTCCTTCGTTTGCCTTCATCTTCTAAGAATCAAATCTATAGATCCTTTCTTCTTTTTCCTTCATTTTCTCCTTTCACTTGGCTTAAAATCGGGGTTTTCTAACCACTCGACCGATACAACCCTAACCTTCCCAACATAAGAGATGGGGCTCGGGTTATTAAAAACCCCACCAACATGAAAATTAATCTTAAAACGATTTGCCATCCTGTGGACATAAACACCAACCAAAAGACACATAGATTTTGGTTTGGATTATGTAATTTTAGGGATTGTGATTTGAAATTTTGTTGGAAAAAATTCAAGAGGTTAAAGGTACGATAGTAAATGTTTTGACGGAAAGGGTTTTTAGGATATTTTCTTGAAGGTTTGTCTTACGGGATTTGAGATTTTGAATTTGAGGGATTAGGATTTTTGAAGGATTTACTTGAAAAGACAAATAAAGGTTTGGGATTTTGAATTTGAGGGATTAGAGACAAAGAGGGGTTTGGGTTTTCAATTGCCGAACTAAAGCAATTGCTTTGCAATCGAAGGAGAGAATGAGGTTGGAGGGTCTACGTGTTTGGGGGATGAGAAGGAAGTAGGAGATGAAGGAAGAAGAAAGAAGGATATGCGGGTTTGATTATGAGAAGACGAAGGCATACGAAGAAGGAAGAAGAGAGGATATGTGGGTTCGATTATGAGAAGAAGAAGGTAAACAAAGGAGAAAAAGAAGAAAGATGGAAGTGTTGTGCAAAATTGAAATGAAAAACAAAGGGTTATACCGGGTTATGGTTAATTTGAATTGGGGATTTTATTGTAATTATGGTATATAGGGGATGACATGTCTTTCAAGATTTGTAATTAATTTTTTACGTTATTGCTTACGTGAATCCTACGTGTTATATTTAGTCTAGTTGTCATGTTTCGTCATATGTCATATTAGTTTTGATCGAATTTAGGTAAGAAAAGTTGATCTGTTCTAGTATTATTATCGGAGAATTAATTGATGACATTTCTATTAAAAATTAAAAGAATGAGATAAAATCATTAAAAAGTATAACGTTCGTGATTTTCTAAAACATTAAGCCTAATACCAATAACATTTAATACAATAATTTTGCCCAAAATTTATATAATAAAAAGTAAATCACTTGTATAAAATTATTTTTATTACTTTGAATATGGGTTAGTAAGATTTTTATAAAGAGTGGTTATTTTGTCTTGGGCATTTGTTAAGCCTTAAATAGTAATCAACGTGTTGAAAGTGATGAGAAAAGAGGAATGCTTGTATATAAATTTTTTTCAATAGAAAGCATGTTCATCGATGAGCATCACTGTTTGGGTGTATCTGTCATTAAAATTCAGTAATTACAAAATTAAAAGGAAATATATACTTATATTTTTGGGCAGGGTATAGTAACATTGAAAATAGAAGATTGAGAAATTGGAATCCTTGTTCCACGTAGAATTCCAAATTGAAAGAATTCCACATTTGATGGAGACATGGTGGTGATCTTTCACGCACACATTTCAAACATCGAACCTCCAAATTCCAATCTTCAATCCTCTTTTGGCAGCATGAGTATTGTCATTGAAGCAGCGAAACCCCAGTTGCAAGCCAACCTCATCCTCAAATTAACCCAATTTCCCTACCAAATTAATTTCATTTTTTCTCAGCAAGAGTCAAATTTAGGTATGACAAAAAGAGAGAGAAACTCGTGTGACTTGAAGATTGGCAAGTGAAACAAAACAAAAGTAAAAGTGATAAAATAAGATCATTAATATTCCAAAAAGTCAGCTCTCGTGTCTTTCATTTCAATTCACATACACACTATTATTTCTCACAAGTGTGAGTGAGTGTGTGTTGTTTTCTTTGTCCAATAAACAATAGATTCGCTTCTGTATTTCTTGTCCCTTCGATATCTTTTCTTTCTCTAGATTCTGTCACCTGTTGCTTTCCTTAATAGCTTTTACGTTTTCAGAGAGAGAGGCAGAGGTGTCAAATTTTGAAATGGGAATGAACCCATTTGAGGAAAAGTTGGCCACTGTGGGCTGCTGTATTCACAGGGTGCTTTTACTTCATTTGCAAGTGATGTTTTAACGCCTCATTGAAACTTTTGTGGTGGGTTCTTACTTCTTATCTTGGGTCTAGCCTGGTAAAGGTTCTTTCTTTCTTCTATAGCCGTATTAACTCTTCTTCAAAGCTTTGATCTTGGGATCTGGTTTAACAGTTAATTGTTGCTTAATTTGCTAAATATTGCTTTTTGTTGGCTTATAGGTGCATTGGGATGTGTGTTTGAAGTGGCTTCATTTGGATGACTTTCTTGCACTCACACTAGTACTAAAGGGGTAGTGGTTGTTCAACAGTACAGGGTTTTGGGGATTAGTTGATATATCTTTTTTTTTTTTTCAAGGGTTTTGGTTTCAAGTGGGGTCAAGAGATCTCAGTTTGTTTGACTGGCTTCACTGCCCACCTTTCTATCTATATATATATATTTTTCTTGTTTAACGGTGTGAATTATTGCTTCACTTTCAAGTTGTTAACTTGATCCTTGTTTTGTGGCGCCTGAGGTGTTTTGCATTTTAAGTTTGTCCATTTGGGGTGCTTCTTTTCTTTTCTCTGATGGGCAACACTTAATCAACTGGGGTCTTGGTTTCTTAAAGTTCTAGGGATTTGATTTCACTTCTTTTTGTTGCTTCATTTGCAATTTGGAACTTGCAAGCTGCTTTCTTTCTGGTGGTCTTTTGGGATTTGATATGCAAGTTCCTTCATTTGAGCTTCTTCTGTTGAAAAGCAGTGCATGCCAAAGAAAACATCAGCTTCAACGTGGGAGTCTTTGCCTTGATTTGAGTTGGGGCTAACCTTTGATTTCAGTAATGGTGATGGTGGAGACTGCTCCAATGACTTTCCTCAGATGGGTGTTCTTTGCTTGCTTTCTTTGTTCATCTTGGTGTCTCAAAACCACAACTCAATCTTGTGATCCAAATGATTTGCTGGCCCTGAAGGAATTCGCAGGAAACCTCACAAATGGGTCCATCATAACAGCATGGTCCAACAACACTGACTGCTGTAAATGGGATGGGGTTGTATGTGGAAGTAATATGAATAGTTCAATTCAAAGTAGAGTGACAAAGCTGATTCTGTCCAGAAAGGGTCTTCAAGGGTTAATTCCAGGCTCTTTGGGCCGCTTAGATCAGCTAAAATCACTTGATCTCTCTTGCAATCATCTCCAAGGTGGATTGCCTTTGGAGCTCTCAAGCTTGAAGGAATTGGAGGTTCTTGATTTGAGCCATAACTTGCTATCAGGACAAGTTTCAGGGGTGCTTTCTGGTTTGCTATCCATTTGGTCACTGAATATTTCTGGCAATCTGTTCAAGGAAGACTTGTTTGAATTTGGAGGATATACAAATCTTGTTGTATTCAACATGAGCAACAATTCATTCACTGGTCTCGTCACTTCTCAAATTTGCAACTCCTTTCTTGAGATTCTTGATTTATCGATGAACCATCTCGTGGGCAATCTTGAAGGCTTGTACAATTGCAGCAGATCTCTCCAGCAATTGCATTTGGACTCCAATTCGCTTTCAGGCGCTCTCCCAGACTTTTTATACTCAATGTCAGCTTTGCAGCACTTCTCTATCTCCAACAACAATTTCTCTGGCCAGTTAAGCAAGGAAGTGAGTAAGCTCTTTAATCTTAAAAACCTGGTTATTTATGGAAACCGGTTTTCAGGCCATATACCAAATGCATTTGCCAACCTTACACATCTAGAGCAATTTGTTGCACATTCAAATATGTTTTCTGGGCCTTTGCCTTCAACACTGTCATTCTGCTCAAAGCTTCACATTCTTGACCTTAGAAACAATTCTTTAACTGGACCAATTGATCTTAATTTCACTGGAATGCCTAGTCTTTGTACACTTGATATTGCCTCTAATCACTTTTCTGGGCCACTTCCAAATTCTCTATCTTATTGTCGTGAATTGAAAATTTTGAGCCTGGCTAAGAATGAATTAACCGGAAAAATCCCTGAGAGTTTTGCAAATCTCTCATCCCTTTTGTTTATCTCACTGTCCAACAATAGTTTTGTGGACTTATCTGGGGCACTAAACGTGCTGCAGCGATGTCAAAATCTCTCCACTCTTATCCTCACAAAGAACTTTGTTGGTGAGGAAATCCCCACAGATGTAAGTGGTTTTAAGAATCTAATGGTCTTAGCATTTGGAAATTGTGCTCTCAAAGGCCAAATCCCAGTTTGGCTGTTGAGTTGCAGGAAGTTAGAAGTTCTTGATTTGTCGTGGAATCATTTGGGTGGAAGTATTCCTTCTTGGATTGGTCAGATGGAGAATTTGTTTTATATGGACTTCTCAAACAACTCCCTTACTGGAGAGATCCCTAAAAGTTTGACCGAGCTAAGGAGCCTCATCTCTGCAAACAGCAGTTCACCTCATCTCACTGCCTCTGCCGGCATTCCTCTATATGTAAAGCGAAACCAGAGTGCTAGTGGTTTGCAATACAACCAGGCCTCAAGTTTCCCTCCTTCAATTTTGTTGAGCAACAATAGGATAAATGGGACAATTCCACCTGAAGTCGGACGGCTGAAAGATCTCCATGTCTTAGATTTGAGCAGGAACAACATAACTGGGACCATACCTAGCTCCTTTTCGCAAATGGAAAACCTGGAAATTATAGATTTGTCATCCAACAATCTGTTTGGGTCAATCCCCTCATCACTCGAGAAGCTGACATTCCTATCAAAGTTTAGTGTGGCTAATAATCACTTGAGGGGTCAAATTCCCACTGGAGGGCAGTTCTATAGCTTTCCTAGCTCCAGTTTTGAGGGTAATCCAGGACTCTGTGGGGTGATAGTTTCTCCTTGTAATGCCATTGACAACATGTTGAAGCCTGGAATTCCATCTGGTTCAGAGAGTAGGTTCAGTCGAAGCAATATTCTTAGCATAACAATCACTATAGGAGTTGGGCTTGCGCTGCTCCTTGCTATCGTTTTGCATAAGATGTCAAGGAGGAATGTGGGGGATCCTATTGGTGATTTGGAGGAGGAAGTCAGTCTGCCTCGCCGGTTATCTGAAGCTCTCAGGTCTTCCAAGTTGGTGCTGTTTCAGAATTCTGATTGCAAAGACCTCACTGTTCCAGATTTGTTGAAATCAACAAGTAACTTCAACCAAGCAAACATCATTGGTTGTGGTGGATTTGGCCTGGTTTACAAAGCCAACCTTCCCAATGGTACAAAAGCTGCAATCAAGAGGCTTTCAGGGGATTGTGGTCAGATGGAACGTGAATTTCAAGCTGAAGTAGAAGCTCTCTCAAGGGCTCAACACAAAAACCTTGTTTCTCTTCAAGGTTATTGCAGGCATGGTGATGACAGATTATTGATTTACTCCTACATGGAAAATGGAAGCTTGGATTATTGGCTGCATGAATCTATTGATGGGGCCTCGGTGCTTAAATGGGAGGTGAGACTCAAGATAGCTCAAGGAGCAGCTTGTGGGTTAGCATATCTGCACAAAGTTTGTGAGCCGCATATAGTTCATCGAGATGTGAAATCTAGCAACATACTTCTAGATGAAAAATTTGAAGCACATTTGGCTGATTTTGGTCTCTCAAGGCTACTTCGTCCTTACGATACTCACGTGACAACGGATTTGGTTGGCACATTAGGTTATATACCTCCTGAATATAGCCAAACATTGATGGCAACATGCAGGGGTGATGTCTACAGTTTTGGTGTTGTTCTTCTTGAGCTTCTTACTGGTAGAAGGCCCGTGGAAGTTTGCAAAGGAAAAAACTGCAGAGATTTGGTTTCTTGGGTGTTTCAGATGAAGTCCGAGAAAAGGGAGGCGGAGATTATAGACTCAGCAATTTGGGACAAAGATCATCAGAAACAGCTGTTTGAAATGCTTGAAATTGCATGTAGGTGCTTAGACCAGAATCCAAGGCAGAGACCCCTTATCGAAGAAGTTGTTTCATGGCTTGATGGTATTGGATTGCAAGATTCACAACAATAAGCTATAGTGCTGTACTTTGTTTCAGGATTCTTAGATTCAGTTGGGGTGGACATGGGAAGGTATACTTGTAAAGTAAAAACTCTCGCAAGTTTCTATAATATTGGAGCAAGTCTTGACCAAGTTTCCATAAGAAGTCTTCAGTACTAGAGTATTATTCTATTAGAAATAAGCATATTATAAAATGCTTTGATTTTGTACAGTTTTCTTTTTTCCCCCTCGGAAGTGAGAGCATTACATTAACATGCGAAGATCAAAGCCTTCACATTGCGCTACATATTTATGTAAATGAATGTATTATTTGGTTTCTTTTAGAATTTTTTATCACCGGTTCGCATTTATACTGGATATGTAATAAGGTACTGAACCTTGAGCTTCTAAAACTTAGTATCAACTGACCAAATGACTGTAACTGAAGGATGAAATGTAAAATATGAGAGTATAAGCTGCAGACAATGGAGACTGCCCATCTATTGGCTATTTGTTTTGGCTTGTTTGTTCTCACAACTCTCAACAAATTGACAATTGCAGCTTCTATATATTCTCATATTATCATTACTTGTTCATGGTTTTTTGCTTTGTATTTGCAACTGTTACGGCATATAAACCTTCTCGGCATCCACCATGTCATCCAAAATACAGTTAGCAGACCCTGGAAATCTGCACGAGCAGGGGAAAATACACTTTTTTCTGGCACGTAGTCAGAAGACTCATTAATGCAAAAAAGATACACCAGCCTCCAATTTTCTTGGATAGAGAAGCTTTAAGAGAGCTAGACCGTCACTCTTTGTAGCAAATCCTTTCGTGAAACAAAAGATTGGATTATTTGTCACATCCTTAAAAAAGCACGACTAAGATTTTTCTTGACTGACAGAGAGCCCAAAAATATTAAAATGCAATCATAAAGATGCTTTTTATGAGCTTTTCTTGTTTGGACAATGTTACCTTGCTTTTTTGACTTTGTTAGCAAAGGCTGCTATAGAAACCTACCAGCTAAGAAAGCAACGTATGCTGCTGACGAGAAACACCCCAATAAATCTTTCAAATTTTAGTTTAGGTTTATCCCCACCATTTTTTCTTCCCTGTATCGGCAGGGGTTGAATTTTGGACTGAAAAGGTGGCTTTTAGGGAAAAATAGATAAACAAACAAACAAGCAGCACGAGATTTGTTGGGTCATTTAGTAATTTGATATAATTTGGTAGGTTAAGAAACAGAGACAAACTAAAAGTTATTAGGTAGTACTGATTAGTGACAAGCTTGAAATCCCAAGAAATCAATATCCGATGGTGATAGAACATTATTTTAGATTAATTCTTTTGCATTTTTTAATGTGTAGGATGGATCCTTCACACTGTTGACAATAGTGACAAACGTATGTGCATGGATTGAGATTAATAATTGATTAGTGTTTGGTATCCATCTTTTTCTGTTTACCTGCCACCATTTTCTTTCTACCTCGAGCTTGAAGCTCCGCAAATCTCTCCCTTTCTTTATCCAAATTGCAATCGCATTTTTCAATTTTCAACTCCAATTTTCCTACCATCTTCATGTCTATTTGTCACCGTGTTATAAAGAATACTAAAAGCATTTTGATGAGAAAAAAAGGGCCAGCCTTTCCCTTCTTGTTTTTCGTGTGTAGTCTCACGGACTAAACATAAGGAAACAATTATAAACTCAAGCTTATTGTCATGATGCCCTACCATTTCCTCCACGAGTTGTATCAATCAGCTTTGGTGAGAAAATAGAATCAGAGGAGATATAATAATTGGATTGGACAGAATTGATCGTTGCATTTCAATTCTTGTTGAGCAACTTTGTGTCAAATAGTCATGGGTGACAAGACACAATTGATTATGTGGATCCATCATTCTCAATCTTTTTTTTAAAAAAAAAAAAAATACTCCGATTTGGATTGGGCTAGTTAAGAGGCCGTGACAGCCCAGATTATGAATCTTACTTGGGCCCAGCTAATATTAACTGAGATTTCGTCTAGGGTCTACTTCCGTGTAATGGACCTCAAAACTTTAAATTCTCAACAAATGGGCCTGACGTTGCTGGCCGAATAAACATTTGTATTACCACAAATGGATAACATGCATGGACCTTCCTGGTTTTGTCTTTAGCTGGCAAAATCTAGAGTCTTCCTCTGCTTTCCACAACCTTCCTGAAGGAGAACCATCTGGGTCTTTTGCTTTTTGGGTCTTTCAATGCTCATCGCCTATTTTAGAAGTTGTTTTGCTACTTCATTTCGTGCCCCGTTTTTTTTTTTTTTTTTTTTCTGGTTTTGATAGATCATTTCCTTGCCTTGATTTTGTTGGTATTTATTCTATTGTACCTGTGCCTATGATGATAATAAACATATATGCTATCATATTTTAGATCCATTAAAGCAATCTAAATCATGGGCATATTATTTTTTCTTCTAGCAAGTTTGGACAGTTACAAGTATTGATTTTTTTTTCCTCCTCAATTTGTAAGAGTTTGTAGTGCAAGTGATGATAAAGAAGACCAACAATCAGCCACTCCTTTCTGGAGAATGATGATGTTGTCAAAATAAGAATCATCAGATCTGATGCATACTGCATGCTCTATTTTTATCTTTTTTTCTTTTGATTTTGGTGCTAACTCATGTGCTATCTGCACGCTTGCTTTGAGACTTCGCTTTGCTTTTTACTTGGAAAGCTATAAGTTATTTGGTTTGAAAAATGATGACTATGTCTAGCTAAATGGGAATCTCCCTGAAGCATTTGTACAGTTTCTTCGATCTTCTTTTGTTTTCGTATCTTTATCTTAGTTTATTTTTTTCTTTAATGCTGGCTAATGAGATTAATGGATTTTATAGCATTACAGATTTTAGAAGTATAAATGAACAAATTTTGATTTTGATTTTTCTTTTTGGAAGCTGTTTTAGAGCATTTTACCCAAGGATTTAGTTCGATTCCTGTTGTGGTCTGAGCTGGGGTGACCACTTAGATGTGATAAAATCTCTAGTGTTTTGGAATGTGTGTGTGGCTTGTTATTGTTTGTCAAGATTATGTATCAACGCTTGATCGTTTCACTGTTAGCTGCATCATGATTGGTTGTCTTTTTATTATGATGGGATGAGTTCTTTTAACTGGGGTCTTATACTTTGCTAAATTTCTCTGAAAAAAATGACAAATTCTTAATTCAATTAAAGAAAACAATTCCACTTAGTGTACAAATTAGTATGTGTTAGATTTTGAGCCTCAATAGCGCCAATGATGGCACTAGAACTACCATGGTTTGCTCTTGAATTACCATGATCTCCAATATATGATTATTCAGTACATAAACTGAGGCGACAAATTTCCTTACGTGCTTGTTTTATGTGGCGAAGCCTGTTCATTAACTGATTTGTTTATTTTGACCGTACAAAAATGCATATTTACTTGTAATGAGGATAATTCACTTGTTCAAAAGTCAGTTTTTCGAAAACTAGATGGAATACTTGATATTAACACTTTCCTCTCCTTCATTGACTTTACCTGCTGATTCTTTTTTGAACAAGTTTTAAATATGAGATCCATGTCAATCTTCTATTATGTTGCCTATGATGATTTAATGCACGTATTAACTGATGATATTATTATGATATCAATCAAGTCTGTCACTATCTCTGAGGCAAAGTAATTTGTTGAAGTCTGCTTCTGCATGCGATTTCTCTAGTTAGTGTTGATGCTGCATTTTTTCAAGATCAAAATCATGCCCTTTTGGTATCAAGTGATTTGGAAATTTGATTGAATAAGAACTAACTAAAGTTTTCTGCATGCCTCTGATGGTGCCTGTCCCTCTTTTTTTTTTTTTTTTTCCTTTTTTTAGAACAATGCCAGTGATGGTGTTGCACGTTTTATGACATTAATATTTGTGATTTTAATTGGATCATTTGAGTATGGGATGCTTTTTTTAAAATTTTAGCTACCTATAAACTGAGTCATTGGCTTGAATTTATGGTTTTGCAGAATTTGAATTTGTTACTCGGTTGTTTCTTCTTGTACTGTAATTTAACTGCTATAAAGCCCTGTTGCAGAATTTTATGCATATTTTCTTGAACCCTTTTCTGAGGGCCTCTTTTGCTAGATCACTGTCTTAATAGATTTTAATTTATTTTATTTTTCTAAATTCTGAAATTGATGGTTTGCCAATGATGTGACTTACTGCACGTATTATCAGACACGAAGTGATGATAATTTTTTCTCACTGCTTCTGAGGCAAAACCATGATTTATTATTATTTTATTCTCGTAAAAAGGACGATCACGATCTTAAGCGTAATATACCCTTCTTGTTGGTGCTGACGTGCAATGCCATTTGCAAGATATATATGCAAAATTTTATTACATTTGTGTTCAATGACATTTTCGTAACTGATAAAAGATCCACTGCTTCGGCAATGATTTTAATGAACTTTGTAAATAACAGATCAGTTGCATCAGCTATTTTGAATACTACCCGATTTGTTAGTATGTTAGTAATACTTAGCTGTGTGTATTGGATTGTACTTTGAATCTTATGTCACAATTATTATTTGTCTATGTGGTTTCATGTTTGATTCAAGAGTTTCTAAGACAGTTGACTGAAAGCTTGATTATTGTAAGATAAGAACTTTGAGATTTGACTGGGATTTTTGCCGTTTTCGACTTCCAACTGCATCTCATAATGAAATGAACTGTTGTAGATGGTGTATGGAGATCTGGAGCAGTCTGCTTGTTGCTAATTCTCTTCCAGCTTTTGGAAGTTCAACCATCTATATTGTGTAGCTGTATCATTTCATTTTCAAGAATACTTGTTTTGAACAAATGGAGGAAGCTTAATTATCTTGTTTAGATTTCTCAATCATTTAAATAAAGTTGCATGATAGTTACTTTTTCTGATATCTGATTGATTATTTGATATTTGTAAATCGTTTTTCTTATTCAAAACATGCCACAAAGTTATTTGGATAGTAGAAAATTGGTGGCCAACAAGTTGATGCATCCGTCAATCTTGAGTCTCGAGGAGACGAACCCTCCCATTTGGATATTGGTTTTGGGTACGAGCAGGAGCCATGATGGCCAAGACTTGTGTGGATTATCAACATGATGTTAAATCGGCATGCATTGTATGTTGTCTCGGGTGGTTGATAAACTTTGCTGTTCATAATTGATGAGTTGATTAATGTATCAGGTACTAATGCTGATAATAAATTATGCAATGCGTTTTCCTAAGAAAGAAGGTTGATATTAGCTAGCTAGAAAACACCATTTGCACATCGGTGGCATTAAAATTCGCGATTCAAGGAGCAGACAAGTATTGAGGGTTGAGCACCTAAAACACTAACCTGAATCGTTTCTCGTTTTACCCAAGAAACATGTCAAGTTCTCTCTAAACGTGTCCCGTTTTACATGTACAACACAGTACACATTGTTCTTTGTCATACTTCAAAATTTGTCAGAAGAAATTGATGTTCGAAGAAATTAACGTTCTGCACCAAAATATTTAGCCAGAAGGAAACTATGGGAGCTCTATTTTTGGCAACGAGAGCCACCATTAATCTCTCTAAAGTTTTGTCTAAGGATCACCCTCGTTATGTTGATTCTGCCGACAGATTTTTCAGGGCTTGTTTTTCCACTGCTTTTGAACGTGCTCAAGTATCTCTCTACTGTAATCTCATACTTTTATACATATCAATCTGTGTATCCTAAAATATTTAGGCACAAAGCATGTACTTTGTCTTCAAACTGAAAATCATGGCTCTACAATTCACAACCTTGTCTCGTATTTAATTACATGTTTTTCCATGATTGTCAGTTCCTAAGCTAGACAATTAACAATATTTTACCCTTACGTGCTGAAATTTTGCAGGGTAGCAATGCAGGAGCAGAGACAAGGAGAGAAGGAAACGGCCCAGGTAGGATACCAGGAACATCTATAGTGCAACAAATGATCCAACCAGGCAAGGCTTGTATGGGGCCAAACAACAAGCCCTAGACCCTGATGAACGTACAGGGATAGGAGCAACACAGTTTGTGGCTGACACAGCCAAAGAAGGGGTTAGAAAAGCAACACAAGTAGCAGACACGATTGGGGACTCAGCTGAGAAAACAATGGTTGGTGCATGGGAAGTAGCCAAGGAGGCTAACCAAAAGATTAGAGAGGCAGTAGTTGGTGGAGATGACCATAATAACAATCATCGTAACGAAGACGACAGCAATAATGATGTGGACGATCCGGTGGTTGTCGAGGTTCATAAGATTGATGGACCAGTAGAGTACAGAAAAATTGAAGGAAATATTGATAATTTAAGAAGAATAGGTGATAGAGCAGATTGAGAAAGCGTTTGGTTTGCATTTGCCAGTCACTAAGGTCTGTTTGTATCATGCTGGCTTAATAAGAAAACAATGAATTTGTGGTAGACAAGTGTATTAGGTCATTTATGTTTATGTTTATTTTCAGTAAGGTTTCTGAATCGAGATAAAATGAGCTTCAATAATTTTCCTTTAGCCTTCAATCTGGAGATGTTTCAAGCTCTCACTCCTAATCCTAGGAAAGTAAAAAATCTACCGTATTGAGCTTTGGCTCACCAAAGCAAATACCAGTCACTCATGAGAACCTTAAATTGGCCGATGGCAAGGCTGATCAGGGAAGGTTGGTGCTCAACTAATTAATTCCAAAATGATCATGATCCCTTGCCAATGCCTCTCTGGAGACCAGACTTCTTATCCTTGTGCATTGAAATGAGCTGTCCATTTCTTTTACGAACACGAAGGTTTGTTCTTAGTGTGATTATTACAAGAAGGTAGCACTTGAAACTGAGTAAGTTCAGATCATGAACCGGTTCCCTTTCTCTAGACTACAGGACATTGACTTAGCACTAGAATTCTATCTTCTTTGCAGAAAGTGCCCAAATTTTGTCGAGTTCCATGCTTGGATGGAAAAATATCTTACTTGGAATCTGATACGTTCTTTACTTTGGCCAGATATTGCCAGATAAATTCCAAATTGAAAAGATAGGTAAGCTAAAACGTGAGACAGAGCAACTCAAGGACAAAGACAATAAAAACATTTTCAAGGGCAAGCAAAAGGGACCCGGAAAGATGATAGGCAATACATATAATCAGCGCTTCAATCATCATCACCTATAAATCCATTTTGAAGGCAATCAGAAAGAACAAAAGAAGATGATAGGTAATGCAGCCAGGGAATATAGATCACCAATCTTTCAGTACTTATCATCACCATGATTATAGCACAATTTGGACACACCAAAGAATTTTTGGGAAAAACTGATCCTAAGTCTTTTGCGTTCCAGGACTACTTGACAAAGACTTGAAAGATCTTCATCTTATCAAACAGCTGTTAGGTTCTCTTTATAAACGTGAATTGTTCTTCTCCAAAGCAAAGTCATGATCCATTCATTTGGATTCTGTTTTCTCATTTCATCAACCAACTAAAATTCGTACAGCTCCATTTTATTTGCAGGCTCAAACAAATTAGAGAATCTGGAAAGAATATAGGACCAAAAACCCAACTCTAATGTTGAGAGCAATGGGCACTTTATGCTAGTCAAGATCATATGCCAAGGCCATTCCCATTAATTTGTCATCATCGTAACAGAAGGAAAAGAAAAGAAAAGAAAAGAAAAGGAGAGACGCGGAGGAGTGGAAGGGTGAAAGGTAGGTAGATATAGGACCATAGAATCGTCAAGGTACACTTGTGGGTAGAAATGGATTGGGATATTTATGAGTTCATGTTTGTTATAACATGATTGGTCCCTTTGTGCCCGTTAATGTTGTGCCAATTTTCAAGTCATAAAGATGGTCTGGAATCCTATCCTAAGCATAAATTTTGAGTCTGGCTCCAATATTGCTCAAGTTAGCTTCGTTGAAGTTGATGTCTTTGGTTTCATGTGACATTCGTAAGGATGTTTGCTTGCAAGAAATTGATGTAAATTCCAGTGATGTATGACCCTTTCGTTTGTGTGGATTTGAACTCGAGACCTATCCTTTCTTCCTCGACAAGGAGACTATTATGCTACACTCCATGCTAAATATCAATATCTGGGATACCGTAAACATAGTTTTAACTCATTTTCATTACAGATTAGAGAAAATTAAGATGCTCAAGAATATTGGTTCTAGGGATCTTAATGATATAATCTTGAGGGATACTTAATCCTTTATGATTTGACAAAGACACTGGCTTATCATTAAACATGCCTTTCACATATATTCTTTATGCATGTGCTATGACCCTTTAATACTAAATCCAATTTGGGAATCCTATGCGACAGGGAACGGCCAATCACATATAAGATATGTGCGGGAATAGGATTGATGCCTTAGAAGCAAATGTCCTCTTTCATTGCTACAAAACTATAATCTACATCTGCAAAATTTGTTCAGCCCTTAACCATATACTATAGGAGTAACTTTACATTGCTCATGGAGCAAATAGTATAAATGACTCCATAAGAAAGAGATACAAATAAAAAGGAGAGAGAGAAAAATTGATCCTATGTGAAAATATTCTTCTCATTTTTTATGGGTCCGAACATAATTTTTTTTTTTTTTGTCTATCTTTTTCCTCAAAAGTAGACCAATAGAAGTAACTATTATGTACGAACAATAATTAGTATTTGAGTATTTTAAAATTTCTTTATACCATTAGATGTATTTTACTCAAATTCTAATGCCCCGAACATCATATATGATTTCAGCTATCAATCTGTTTCATAGGCATTTGCTAAAGTTTTCCATTTGGTACGGTTATTGATAGCATGCTAAATTAAGAGTTGATAGAGTACTAAATTAAGAAGTTATAGCTGCATAGAGTTTAATTTTTCTCTAAATATCTTTATGTAATCTTTCATTAATTAGCTTGATATTCTTTTTGTATCATGGATTTTTGTATATATATTGTAAACCATTACGTATCACAATTACACAAAATCTCTTATGGTATCAAAGTAGTCTCTATTAAGTCTATAGAATAGAGAACTTTCCTCTTCCTAAATTCTTCTAACCTAGTTGTAAACTCCTCATATCATCACCAAGATGGTTAATCCAATGTCCTTTACACCTATCTTTCCAAAACAAAACTCATCGATTTCACCAACGCACTTAGTTGCAACCTCAAGAAATTTAGTAGCTACCCTTACTTTTGCAAACCCAATAACTCAAGATGGAAATCGATCTCTCTTAATGCCTCATCTCGGATTCTATTCAAATTCTAAAAGGATGGAGGAATTATGCGGCTCGAAAGTTCTAACTAACCAATCTTCTATTTGGTTATGGTTTGCTCGAATATGTTAGTCGTGATTTACGTTGTCCATCCAACACCGAACAAACTCATCTCTTTTGGCTCGTTAAATCGTTTGATGATCTTAGGAATTTTTCCATAGCACTATCGACCCTTCCATTAATAATTGCATCATTGAAGCTGAAGCATGGAACAAATTAGAAATAGTTATGCCAATCGTTCTAACACTTGTATGCTTTTTCTCTCTCTTATCCTCACTCATGTCCTACAAAAAGGAAGGCAAATTAGTTGCTACTTCTATGAACAAAGTTAAAAGCATTATTGATGATCTTGCTCGTATTGGCCATCTCTTGAGTCATGCGGAAATCATTATCCATATTCTAAATGGTCTTATTGATGAGTTTAAAAAACTAATGGTTATTGTTCTTTTTGTGATACTCCTATATTATTCAAGGATCTCTATGACAATCTCCTCAATGAGGACATCATACAAAACCGGGATGAGCAAATGGAGGAAGATGAAACTCAAATCATAGCTTCGGTTGTTTAATGACGAAACAAAAATAACAAAGGTAGCAATAGTTAATGAAATCATGGAGAACCTAAATTCTCAACCGGTTCAAATGGAAACAACTCGGGAAACTTAGGCTAATTCCTTGATCCATCTTAATTTAGAGGTCAACCAAGTCCTTATCAATCTCGACATAGAAATCGATGATACTCTCCATAAGGTTATGGCTTCGATTCTAATTTTTAATCTCACTCACCATATTGGAATTGAAAATGAAATTATCATTAGGATCAAAATCGAATTGTTTAACCATTATGTGACAAGCTAGATCATAATACCAAGACGTGTCACTCTCGCACTCCACTAGCTTCTCACTTCACTTTACTATAAGCTCGTTATGCTTATGGAAACTCCAACAAATCTAACAATAATTAGGTACTAGATAGGGGAGCTACATATCATATAACTTCGGACCTTCAAAATATATCTATGCATTCTCACTACATTGAGAACAAAGACATCATAGTCGGAGATGGTAATGGAATTCATAAATCTCATACTTGGTTTCTCTATTATTGATTCTCTTATTACCTCATTTACTCTAGATAATATTTTATGCACAATTTTGATAAAGAAAAATCTTATTTCACTCGTCTAAATTTTACACAACCAATACACTTTTATAGATTTTTTTCCTAATGTTTCTTTTGAAGGATTTGAGTATGAGAGCATCTTTAGCTTGAGGTTGGAGTAGGCATGACTTGTACGAATGATCACCGTCATCCTTACCATCCTCTTCATCACCTTCAACTTTTTTCGTATCCATAGCCAAACTATGACATCAATGACTTAGTTATCGATTTTTGCCTATGCAAAAGTAAATTCTCGCTAGTAATTAAATTTTTATTTTTTACTTGCATAATACTAATAGTATTTGGAAATCTTGCTTATGTAACAAAAGTCACAACTTGTCATTTAAGAACTCTTATGTTATTTATGATAAACAATTCTAAATTATTTACTTTGATGTTTGAGGTTTTGCTCTCATTATTTCTTTTGGTAATTTTAGGTATCATGTTATATTTGTTGATTATTATACAAAATATACTTGGTTATATTCTCTCAAATTAAAATGCGAAGTCTTTAGTGTATTTGAAAATTTTCAAAAACTTATTGAAAATTTCTTTTAGACCTCTATTCAAACTATTTACATAGATGGTAAAGTAGAGTATCAAGCTCTATCTAACATTCTTGCCAAACATGGAACTCACCATCTCACCTTGCCTCCTTACACTCTAGAACATGTTTAGTCGGCCAAACATAAACACCATCACATTATTGAAACCGGCTTAACTCTTCTCCACGATGCCTTTATTCTCTTATGTTTTTGGTCTTATGTCTTCCAAACTATGACCTACCTTATAAATTGAAGGCCTTCTATGTCTTAAAAAATGACACACCTTATCTTAAGTTATTTGGTCATCAACCCAAGTTCACCTACATATGTGCTTTTTGGGCACTTTTACTATTCATGGTTTTGCCCATATAACACACACAAACTTGGACTACGATCATGACCATATGTATATCTTGGATTGTCCCTTCCTAGCCATGCTTTCCTATGTTTTGATACATAATCTAATAAAATCTTTATTTCACATACATGTAGTTTTTTTTAAAGTATGTTTTCTAATTAAACAAAATCGTGTTACGTTCTAATTTTTTTGTTACTAAGCACTTTTTTTATAGGTTACTTTTCTTGTTTACAAGTCAAATTCAAAAAAGTCAAATCTCCTTTAACATCTCTCATGATTCAGTCTTCCTTCTAAATAAATCATCTACATTCATTCATTTGACTCTACCTTCTATGACAATCACTTCTCAAAATCCATCTCTATATAAAGAAACTTTTGCTCTTGTTTTTCACCCGAGTGTGACTACTAATACTCTTTTAATCAAGTAAGTAATTCTCCTTTTTTAATTTATAATACCACATACCATCCCCCTTCTCCACCATTAAAGTTCCCTCTTCAAACCGATACTCGTGCATAAAATAATATCCATAAACCAAAAATTCCTTTCAATCCGAACGCCATAACCATTAACCTCTCTTCTCAAATGGAACATACCTCTTTCACCTAAGCAAATAAACATCTCGAATGTCATGATGCCATGTAGGAAGAAATTTCAGCCCTTTGCCAAAATAAAACTTGGACCTTAGTTCCTACTTCACCGACATAAAGCATTATCGGTTATAAATGGGTCTATCAAATCAAGAGATATCCAAAAGGATCCATTACCTATTACAATGACACGCCTTATAGCAAAAGAGTTCTACTAACAATTGGGCATTGATTTTACTAAAACCATTAGCTCCATTGTTAAAACTACCACTATATGTCTAATTCCAAGTTTAGTAGTGTCTTGTGATTGAGTTTTGAAGTAATTAGATGTTAACAATGTTTTTTTACAAAGAAATTTATTTGATTATGTCTTTATATAACAGCCTCAAGGATTTAGTGATCTTAATATCTTAACTATGTTTACGAACTACACAAGGCTCTCTATGGCCTTTGTCAAGCTCCCCAAGCATGGCATATAGAAATTCATTCCTTTCTTCTTGCCAATGGCTTTATCA